TAATATATTTTATTAATCGGATAGCAATAAATAGATAACAAATATATTATACAATATAAAGGTGATTCATAAACTAAAACCTCAAACTAAAACCAATCACAGATATGTACTTAACTTTAGTTACCTAAAAAGAAAGAATTACGCACGTTTTTGTATTAAGAGCTGGGCCGTACGGTGCGTTGCAAAAGCGTCCCAATGCCAGAGTGATGTTTTACATACAACAATACGTTATTCGACATTCGAGGTCTCTACAACTATTAATAATAATAATTATAAAGATAACGGACCCTTAGAACGCAAACGTAACAGTCATCTGGTAATTTATGTACTTAGCCCAGAAGAAGTAAAATTGCTGACAGCCAAACAACTCCTTCAATGAGGACTAAATCTTCTGTTCACCAGATGTAGCTAGTTGACACAGGCGAATTGAGAAACTAGTTTTCTAGAGTATTGTGTTAATACAAAAGATAATGAATCAGTGGTTTGCTCTTTAATTTTTTACGGTTTATGACATTTATTTCTCAAAAAGAATACAATTCACTTATCATGAGAAATAACAAGTTAATAAATAGATACTAAATACATAAACTTATGAAGAACGGCAGGTACTTGTAAATGACCTGTTAAGTAGTGGATAGGCACAATCTTGTTACTTGTTGTGGGTAATAAGAAAAGTACGTGTACAATTACATATCGTTATTAAAAGAAAGTCTATAGCAATTACACATTGTTCATATTTGCAAGAAATTTAGATGGTATTTTTATGTTAATGGTTATATTTTAAATAATTGGTAAAATCAAATTAATTAAAGAAATCACATTAGCTTTTTGAATAAGTTATTGGTATTTAAAATCGAGAAAAATCTTTTAAGATGTGGTGCTTTAATGTTTTTTGTATAAAATAAAGGACTGGATCTCTTTTATGTTATTAGGCAATTTATTATATAACTCTGCTCCTTCGTATAATATATTTTTTCTTCCGTTGTTAGTTCGAGGTTGTCTTAGGCAAATGTTATTTTGTCGTCTAGTAATACGTTTTTGTATTAGTCCTTTCTTTGTAAACGTTATTTTAGAGTGTATATCTTTATTTAATAATTTATGTACTAATATGCTTGTATTATATTTATAAATCTGTGAGTGTCATTAATTGAGTTTCTTTGTAAATTTTGCGCATTTTTAACTCTTTTTTTTAATTCTTCTGATTTTATGAATGTCTGTGTTTTGTTTATTTGTAATATAATTAATTTAAAATATAAGTAGAGTATAGAGTAATATAACTAGAGTACATAAGAAAATAAGGTACATAAGTATAGTACAGAAAGAAACATTAACCTTTACATTTTTCCAACAAATTAACTTCGCAATGAAATCTGTCAAATAAATTGTTTACTACAACCATAGAATACTATAATACACAATAGAATGTCTGTCAACTTTATATTGTACGAGGTTTGGCGTCGCCAAACCCGATTCGTTGTGTTGACAGACTGAATAAATTTACACATTTTATACTTTTTATTAATGTTCACGATCATCATTTAAAAAAATCGTTTAAATTTTAATACATATTTATTTGTAAATAGGCTACAATTTGGCATTTTTTAAATGATTTGCATGCGAAATTTGGAAACGATTATAACGCCAAAACACATCTCGTGTTGACATTTATACGCGTGAATTTACGTGTTAGTGACATTTTAATGGCTACGCGGGCTCCGCCCACTCCCCCGTTCTTATGTATGTATTAAAGTATTCTATGACTACAACCATCACATTCAAAAATGTATTTTGTTGACGCCGCAGATGTTTTTTTCGTAAGTATTAACTCTTTTGTTTCAAAATTTTCTTTTTCATTATCTTTGCAGGATGCTTTCTTTTTTATTAATTGGTTGATTATCTTTTTTCACTTTAGGGTTTGATTTAATAGTAGGACCTTCAAAATCGAGGTTTTTTTTACGTACTAATTTTATGTTACTATCAGTAGAATTTATTTTAATCTAGTTCTGAGACGGTCCAAAAAATATTTGTCGGTGTAATGTACTGTTCTACCTCTTGATTCCCATTTACTTCAAATTTGGAATTCTCATATTCGAAATTCTCTTCCTCTACTTTAACAAGCAGATTCAAGGCTTAAAATATCATCCTCACAGTCATTTTCTACACCACACTCCACTGGCCAGATATCTATAATATGATAAATTGGTGTGAATTGAATCTCATCTCTAGCCTCATGTGGTTTTAGTATTGACATGGACCCGGCAAGCAACTGCTCCAGAACTGCATTCGACTCAATATCCTGTTGTTGCAATCTGCAACAAATGAGTATTGCACGACAGGTGCAACAGACAATTATGGGCTCCTCATCCTCATCCATAAAACTGTTCGTCATTTTTTATAGAATAAGGATGACAATCGAGCACACAGTCCACCTGATGGTAAGTGGATGCTGTGGCCCATAGACATCTACATTTATCCTCGTTTAAGAATCAAAACGCGGTTGCATTATCACCCCTGAGAACTAAGTTGGAATGTCTCCGGATCTCTACAATCACCATACGAAACACAGCAGTATTAATCTGCTATTTTACGCTGGTATTCTATGAGAGCGTGGTCCTTCCCCGGTCGAGCCGACTCATTCGTGCTACAACCACAATAAAGCTGCAGCGTGGCTCTACCACGCAAAAACAAAATCATTTTATAAGTGGTATTTAAAAAATATATGCATTTAAAAATGTTTTATTCAAATTTTAGAGGCCAGTCTTCTTTAGTACAAACATGCGTACATTAACGCTTAAACAAATTCTACAATTTTCACTAAAGGCCATTCCTGTTTCTTATAGTTTTATTATAATTGATTTATCTTTTTCATTAATAAACCGAAGTTTTCCGAAATATTAAAATTGTCAATGTTTTATACAAATTTTGGAGGCGAGTCTTCTTTAGTTCAAACATGGGTACATTAACGCTTAAAATACAAATTTTGGAGGAGAGTCTTCTTTAATACAAGCATGCGTACATTAACGCTTAGAAAATTCTGCAAATTTCACTAAAGGCCATTCCTGTTTCTTATAGTTTTATTATAATTGATTTATCTTTTTCATTAATAAACCGAAGTTTTCCGAAATATTAAAATTGTCAATGTTTTTTACAAATTTTGGAGGCGAGTCTTCTTTAGTTCAAACATGCGTACATTAACGCCTAAACAAATTCTACAATTTAATGGCCATTCCTGTTTTCTATAGTTTTATTATAATTGAATTCTCTTTTTCATTAATAAGCCGAAGTTTTCCGAAATATTAAAATTTAAAATGCAATATACCATAGACTTTAATAACATTATAATATTACCTCACTGTTAAGTGACGCCAGAAAAAGTCGTGGATGCCACATTCATTGATATAGGACTTAGCAGTGAAATAACGCCATAACAGCGACCACAATATAACTTACATGTCGCAGTGATATTGGTGTTATTAGATCTGCACAGCTGCTTGCACAATTTAAAAATAGGCGACGTAGTTGTACTTTTTTTTAACTTTGTACCTCCTTGATGTAATTATTGCGCAAAAACAAAATCATTTTATAAGTGAAATTTAAAAAAATATATGCATTAATTTTTTTAATATACTACTACTATTAATATACACGTATTTGTATTGTCATTCGATTATTATAGAGCTATGTTCAAAATTTCAAGTACCCTAGTTCATAGGGAAGTTAGTTTATTTTTAAAAAGAAAAATATTAGAAATGTTATTTACATTTCTAATATTCCCTTTAACCACTGGTAAGCTTATAATGCTTGTGATAGTAATGGTTCGTGGTAGTAATCGAATGGCGGATTCGAACCCACGATCTGAGTTCGCGGTCCGCACCCTGCCATTAGGCTAGTGTCTTATGAAATCAAAAAAAAAAAATCAAGTAAAATTTAACATACCCACAAGTGCTCTGCGTGTTCTTTTAGCAAAATTAGGTCGGATTTCAATTTTGAGTAGTATATATTTTATTTTGGCTATAGGAAACTATGACGTTATATATTCAATTCTATATTGTACTCATACAATCTATATATCGACGGATAAAAGGTAATAGGGCATAAGCGACATTTTGGTCTAAAATGAGTCTTGAATGCCAAGCTACTTAAAATTTTCCACTTTTTCGAATGCACTTACTCCCATGGCTCTACAATGACTTTTTTGTTGCTTATGCCCAAGCAAAAAATTGCGTTTACGAAGTGTCATTTCGGTATAACCGACCGAGTTTTAGGCCTTTTTTACCCTTAAGGCGCTTTTAACCCTGTAAAAATAGCATCACTTCTGGTTTAAAGTCGGTTATGTATTTTTACTTCTCAATGGTGTATGGATTCTGGTCGCATACTGCTCTTTATCATTAGCACCTGTATTGAAAGTTGGAACTAATGCCTCTTTACCTTTGTCGTCACAAATATTAAGCGTCGGTTATATCTTACTACCATTTACAAGTTTACCGTTCAGTTTTCGCTTATACACAATTACTAAAATCTAATTTAATATTGAACAGTCGGTTATACCTTACTACTATTTACAAGTTTACCATACAGTTGTCGCTAATACACAATTACTAGAATCAAATTTGATATTGAAATTCGGTTATACCCTACTACCATTTACTATTTTAATACAACTCTGTCGTTTATACCGTATTACTTTACAGTGATCATTTATTAATTGGTGCTTACGCCAATTTGTGTCACTTTGTTATAATGAAGTAGCTGTTTAGCAAGTCGCTTATTCCAAAATCAGTCGATTGCGTGCAGTGACGGCGAGAGCGTAATTTTTTCGTGAAAAGTGTGCCAAACATCCTGTTAACGGTATGTTATTTATTTTTCTAACCTGTTTGGTATTGAATTAAGTACTTATGATTGATTACATAAGTATTACTAAGTAATTGTAGTAGATTGATTACTAAGTAGGTACCTATAACTGATATTTATTATTTTTGAATGTATTGTTTTAGGTTAAAATGAAAAGAAAAGGTCGAAAAAGAGATATTTTGGAAATGGCTCTCAAAACATCGGATATACGAAACCAGAAAAAATGTCGCAAGAGCCTTCTTTCTGAATTTAATAAGGTAAATAATTTATTGTTTTGTATTTTTGTTGTTGAACATCAAATATAGTTTGTCTCTCATGTATATAGTTATCTATATCTGTGTGTTGGGTTTAAGATGTTTAATGATTTTAGTACCGTGGCATCCTCTGTGGAAAACAAGAGTTCTATACTTAATTTTTATGACATAAATGAAGTATCCAGATATTGTATGAACATTTAGGTAAAAAAAAAACTTGCCTATATAGCTAAATATTTTAACTTTCTTATTAAAGACTTTTATGAAAGATTAATAATAAAGCTAGTTGTACGCCACTGTTAAGAAACGGTTTAAGACATTTATTTCACATTTCCTTCACTTAACATGTTAATACTAAATTCAGGAACTTATGAAGAACGGTAGATACGCGTAAATAAAGTATGTAGTAAATTGTAGATGCGCAAGTATTTTTTACAGTGCTGTGAGTAACAAGAAAAAATGAGTGTATTGAAAAAATGTGTGTGTATTACAGAAAGGATATTGTGATTTATTATTATGAGCACAGGAACTACATTAAACGTATTATAAATACACATTACATGAAGGCACACTCGTGCACATTCACACCACTATATAGTTATTTTATTTTACCTACCTACCTTTTTTCCAGAAGTCTGCCATCTTCACGAGCTCCGCGCCGCCCCCGTACGCTGCGTGTGCCATCCTTACAAGCCCTGCTCAGAACCCTGCGCCTGCCATTCTCATAAGCTCTGCGCCGGATGTTGCAACTGCCACCCTTACGAGCTCCGAGCCCAACGCTGCATCTGCCATCCTCACGAGTTCTACTATAGATGCTGCGTCTGCCATCCTCACGACCTACACGAACGACGTTGCGTCTGCCGTCTTCACCAGCCCTGCTACAGATGCTGCCTCTGCCACTCTCACGAGCTCCGCACCTGATGCTGCGTCAGCCATCCTCAAGAGCCCTGCTACAGATGCTGCGTCCGCCGTCCTTACCAGCCTTGCTACAGATGCTGCATCTGCCACCCTCATAGTCTCCACGCCCAACGCTGTGTCTGCCGTCCTCACGAGCCCTACTACAGATGCTGCGTCTGCTATTGTCACGAGCTTCGCATCCAACGCTGCGTCCCCCGTCCTCACCAGCCCTGCTACAGATGCTGCGTCTGCCATCTTCACGAGATCCGTGCCTACGCTGGACGCTACGTCTGCTGCATGCTGGAACTCCACACCGCCAGTCACAGAAACAAATTTCTCAGGTATATCGCTCCAAGATGTCCCCAGCACATCTTTTGCGACTGAACTCAACAATAATGTTTCACCTATAATGGAATTGTCCAACGAAGTATCAAGTATTCCAAACTCCGCGCAAAACTTTGTTCAATCTTATGTTTCCCAACAACCGTTGGACGTTCTTCCAGGTACATCTTTGGGAACCGACGCTAACAATAAATCGTCCTCATTTAGAATCACCCGTCCAGCAAAAAAACATTCTTATTTAGATTATATGTCAGACGATGAGATAGCTTTGTTAAATTCTTTTGGCGATGCAGGAAGCTCAGATGAGTGGGAGCCGGAAAAAAACGGAAAGAAAAGGAAGCAAATGACTATTAACGTCGAAGAAGAGTTTATTGGTAATAATGCGACGAAAAAGGTTCCTAAAAATAAGAGGAAGGAACATTAAGACAAACGGAGAAGTTGTTCAAGAAAAAAAGTCCAACCAAACCCTTGTGCGGGTAAGAAATGTGGAAACAACTGCGGAGATATAACGGAAGAAAGAAGGATTAGCATTTTTAAGCATTTTTGGAGCCTGTCAGAACAGAGAAGAAAGGATAGGATTAGCCTAACCCGGAAAACTAATAGCAAAAGAAAGAGAAATAAGGATTCAGAAAAACGCACCATAACATACAAATACAATATTACGGATGGTGAAGCTCATCGACAAATATGTCTGCAATTTTTGTGCAAAACGATCGATGTGTCACACAAATATATTTATTATACGGTTTCAACTGCCGATGAGTTTGGTAGTGCCAAACAATCTGAAAGGGGTAAAAGTGTACCTCCCAACAAAACCAGCAACGATGAAATTACAGCGGTTGAAAACTATATAAAATGTTTACCGGCAGTTCCTTCTCATTATTGTAGGAAGGATAGTACTCGAACATACCTTCCATCAGAATACAAAAACTTAGCCAATTTATATAGAAAGTACAAAGAATATCGTAGCTTTCAAGGACTGACGTATGTTTCGGAGAACATTTTCCGAAAAGTTTTCAATGAAAACTTTAATATAGCATTCCATATCCCGAAAAAAGACAAATGCCTGAAATGTTGTCAGTACGAAAATAAAACTAATCCTACACCAGAACAACGACGAGCTCACGAAGAACACCTTATTGAGAAAGACCACACATACAATCGCTACAAGATGCACAAAACTATTCATTTAAAAGACAGCATCCATTTGCATAAGTTTTGACTTACAAAAAGTCTTGAACACACCGTATGGTGATAGCATGTTATTATTTTATACACGCAAGCTGGCCGTTTACAATGCAGTTATTTACGAAAATGGTACGCGCAATGTTTATTGCTATTATTGGGACGAAAGCCAGGGTAACCGCGGTGCTAATGAGATGGCTACAATATTAAGCAAATACATAACGAAGCTTGATGAACGCGGAAATATAAGACGACTTCTTCTTTATTGTGACTGCTGTCCCGGTCAAAATTGGAACAAGATAGTTCTTGCAATGCTGAACGAGACTCTGCAACGATGCAGAACTCTTGAATCTATTCAAATAAATTTCTTACTTACCGGCCATACCTACATGACAGTCGATTCGGTTGTACTAAGTTTTAGAAATTCTTTATTTTTGCAAGTACATTATATTATTGCATTAAGTTACTTCTTTTTTTGTTACTATGTAGATACTAAGTACATCGTAAAAACTACTTTTTCTTTTATAATTGTTAATAAATAGTGAAAAAACGTATTTTGGTTTTCATTAAATCACAACATGAAGTATTAGGTCAGAGCATACTTATTATATAATATAATAATAATAAATGATTTATTTTTCACCACAATATTACAGAATTATTGTACATAATATTAGAATATTACACCTTAATGTTATACTGTGGGAGACTGGTGCCTAAGCTAGGCTTTACGCCTGTATTTCAGGCCACCAGGTCTCCGTCCTATGGTTGTAATTACAATCTTTTTACCATGAACATGTACCATATTTGTAATTTACACAATGCACCTTCTTTTACTTAATTTAATATATAGAGCATTATTAATCTAGTACGAACGATGATGATGATGGGTATAAGCAGTTACTTAAGTCTTACTTTAAAGGAGAATCATGTCGTTTGCTAATCTGTTATTTTTAAGACGTGACGTTTAATCCACATTACTATTTGCCCATATAATGCCGTACGTTGGATGTTCTCGTTTTCCTCTTGGTATAGAAATCTTGATGTGTGGAAGTACCACGTTACCTTTTTTTCAACCCACTTACAGTGTCGCTAATGTATGACATCCTCACGATGTTTTTGCTATGCACTGTTTCTTGTGCTCCATTACCTTTTGGCATAATGATGTGAATCGTCACATATCCTACTTTACCCATTTAAGTTATTCTTCAGCCATGTGACTTATGCCCTATTACCTCTTGGTATACGGATATCAAATGTAGCTAAGTCTTCTAAACTCTTTGTTTCTTTCTGTGTAGATGTAACTTATGCCAAATTACCTCATATTTAAAATAGGACCAATTGATCTAAGCGACATAAAATCAGATAAAAACACGTTGAATCAAATAAATAAAAAAGTCAATTATTGCTTTTATTTTTGTTGATTTTAGAGCTGTTTATATTTTTACGTTATGACAATAAATAAAAAAGTTATGTCCATTTTTCTGCAATTTCAAACTTTAAACTGCTCTCCTGAACAATTTGGTTTTTGTTGCTTATACCCTATTACCTTTTAACCGTCGATATATATCTATATCTATATCTATATCTATATCTATATATATATATATATATATATATATATATATATATATATATATATATATATATATATACACACATACATTATCCTAGGAGCCAGGTCAGGTCCGTCAGCCAAAGTCGCAACGCACCGTGTGGCTTCACTTTTATTTCTAAACATTTAGCTATACAGTCATGTTAACAACTGTGGACCTATCAACTTTCAAGATATATCACACAATAGTATATACAGACGACAGCTTTTTTGGATACTATACGCAGGTACAGGATAATAATTGTATTGGGTTCACTGACAATGGACATGCCGCATTTTTAACATTTTTATTTTTTTATATAAATACGAGTAGATAAATACAACAAAATGCGGCTAGAACATAAATAAATAACAAATTAAAAATAATCAATTACAGAACACTTTTCTTTCTCTTTCTAGAGGACAAGAAGGAAGATGTTTTTAATTAAATTTTGTCTATTATAACAATGCACTTGTACGTTGATTGCTTTTACGATATAAGTATTAATTTAGAACAAAATCGTATTTATTGTATAATTAGTGATCCGCCCGGCTTCCCACGGGTGATTTCCGGGTCTCGACTACAGTGTCACCTACCGGATCCAAAATGTCAATCTAAACCATACAGGGACCATCCATTCAAAAACACAAAAAAATCAACAAACTAGGTCGAGCTGTTTATGAATTTTAGAGACTTAATGAAGTATTCTTTGGATTGCAGTGATGATATATAAATTTGTAAATTTCAAAAAGCATGTTAAAAAAATTATAACAGATTCATGTAAAAAATCTTGAACAGTTTAAGAAATGGCTTAATTCAAACAAATATGACTTTTCATGTAAAAAATAGATTTCTAGCAGTGTGTTTTTATTGAAACGGTCCATTCCCACTTGTCGATTAAGGAAACTCGGCAGTATAGCAATTTGGTTATTGTTGGAATCAAGTTTATTTCTTCTCATTTAGGTGGTTGGGTCCCAATCACCTAACTACTGAATTGCAGTCTAGTTGAAGACATGAATTACTAATTTTTAGGTCTCAGATCAAGTCCAATTTTACCTCTGATCTTTAAGCGCAAGTGTTACATTGAATACAGCTATATACTTGTGTTTTTAATGCTGAGAATGCTTTAATTAAATTGTCTTACCAACAGATCAACATTTTTAGGTATTATATAATTATTTTACAAAATGATATTTTCTTGTATGTCACTTTAATTAAACAGTATAATAACAAAGTTACTTTCAATGTTGAATAGGAGATCTATTATGGTTAAAATTATTTTTATACAGTGATATTTAAAATGTTATGTTCACAGCTATTACGTTAAAGTAAACTCTTTGTGTGAGTATTTTGCTTTGGCAAAAGGACCCTTGTGCTTAGCACACTTAACGCTACAGAACTGGCTAACGTGTTCAACACAAGGCTATCTGGATCTCATTGGTACTGACTCGTGCTCGATGATACTTTCTCCAGCTTCTCGAAATGCTTCCTCGCATTGCGAATATTGATGAGAGTTGCTTCGGAGGGAATTTTCGGATCAGACATCTCCACCATGACGTACGTGTTGCTTGTGAAGCCGTCTATGAAAGCGGCGAACACGCTGTTACGTACCTGTAAAAAAAAAACAAGTGGTAAACTTAAATATTTAATTCAACCGATTTTAATATAAATAAAATCAGAACATCACATCACGGTAGTCAAAGTCAATTAATTACGCATTATGAAGGAAAACTCAAAAACTACTAGTCAGATCTTGATCAAATTTATATGGAACCACGTGAGAAGCACCAGTTTTCAAATAAAAAAAAGAATTATCAAAATCGGTCCACCTAGAAAAAAGTTCTGAGGCAACACATAAAAAAATGCAGTCGAATTGAGAACCTCCTCTTTTTTTTGAAGTCGGTTGAAAAATGGTTTATATGTGGAACTAATAACACTGTGTTTTAACTGTGTTTTTGCCTAGCATGTCGTAAAATGGGTGAATGTGGCTTGTGATTGGCGAAAGTGGTGTGACAAATGAACTACACCAGATAGTAAGTAGCTATTGCAGCACTCCATGGACATCTGCAGCCAACTTTATATTGGAAGACCGTTTTTACCGTCTGGAAAAAAATTGCGTGTAACATGTGAACGGAGTAGGAGCTTATGCAGTGGCGAAGCTAGAGCTCCAAGCTAGGGCAAGCCCAAGACATAAATTGATAAAAATATAGATTGTTGTTTTTAGCAGTTTTATAAAAATACACCAATCTTGATCTGTCTCCACGCTTCAGTTTCATATTCAGTGCTGTCAAGGACGTGTTTAACAAAGCACACAGAAGGCATACCACTGCTAGATAGATTGTATTACATATCAGCAATTGCATAGCTTCGGTGGCTTTGAAGAGAGCCGTTTGGGTTTGTTTAAGGGAAAGAAAAAAAATATTTACATCCAATACAATACATGAACAAAAGTAAAACACGAACAAAGTACAAACAAACTATGTACAAAATTAAAAAAAAAATATTTACATTCTAATGGATAAGAGATAAGATAAGTGGAATCGTCTCGCTTTCTTATGGAAAGATTTAATTACGTCCACGTAAAATGTTGGTGAACGTTTTAATTGTACCAATAACTGTTTTTAATTGCGATAATTGATAAGTCTGAAATACACTCTTAACCTTGTGTATTATCTCAACAAAGTTTAAAGATTTCCTCTCCGATTATCACTTTAACACACTTCAATTCATCACAAGGAACACTATTATCCTCCATTTTCATTAAAAAATCTTTAAAAAAGCATAAATTTTGAACTCGTAATATTAAAATCGCTTAAGATAAGCACACAGAGTAAATTAACATTGAAACGTGAAATGGACTTGCAAACGTATTGCCCGCGCGCCTCCGCTTTTAACAAATTTATTCCCAAAAGCCTGGCTTTAAATCTCTATACTAATTGCTATATATACAATCGTAGTTATATTTCATTATAGAATATTTTGCCATAGGTTAGAAAGAGAGCGATCGTCTTCTCGAACGCCCCGTAAAAAACCCACGCGAGCGAGGGAGACAACTATTAGCTCTATTAAAACTCATTTTTTATGACAGCAGCAGTATCGCTAAGGCAATACGAGGTCATCGGTCGACATGTGTCGAACAGTGGAGTGCGCGGGAAATTTGAAATAGCTTGAAACATTTTACGAGTTATTTTATTAGATTGATATTATTGATTGATTCAGGTTTAATAAGGCAAACCCGGCTTTTCGGCTTTAATGGAAGCTTCGCCACTGAGCTTATGGCCCTGATATTTTAGAAAAAATATAAACAAAAATTTTAATTAAACGTTTGAAAAATTTTCGAACAATTATTTTGCCCTTTGCCCTTGAGCCTGTGACCCTGCGAAGTGACAAGGCTAAAGATGCCTACTAAATTTGTTGCTTTATTTCCGTTCGTAAAGTAGGGTGGATATGATTTGCATTTCGATAGATTTTTATTAATTATTTAATTCAAAATTTTTGTTTTTATTTTTTTGTAAAATATCAGTGCCATAGGTTTCTCCTCCGTTCACATGTTACACCCTATTTTTCCGGTAAAAAAATCACCAGTATAACGAAGGCTACAGATATGTGTATGTATGTCACCCCTGAGGCCTAAGATGGACTGCCTTAGGCTGCTATTGGTATTCTGTGAGTGTGGTCCTTGCCTTATCAAGTTGACGCATTCGTGCATCAACCATAATATAGCTGCAGCATGGCTCTACCACATTAAAGAGTTAAAAGAAGTTGTTAATTGTTCTTCTTTAATCTATGAAAAATCAACTGTTATTTTATTATGTGCGAACACTACACATTAATGAAACTAATGTTACGGATTTTATCACATTTAATTTTGACTTTTGATCCCCAACGCTTTGGGTGCTTTGCAGCACGGACTTTAATGTCGCACCTTTGACAAAATGCGGCACGTGCTGAGGTTCGCGGCACAAAAACGACCGTATCTAAGCGAACAGACTGCACACCAAGGGAAATTAAACTAAACAAAACGGCTCGAAATAAAAAGCAATGCTATTGCTTCTAAAAAGGCTTCAATCGCAGTTGCAATAAATTGGAATTTATTTAAGCAATTTAGTTAAATTAATAAAGTTAAATATTAATAGTGTATAGCATTTGGACTGTCAATTGAAATGATATGGAATAGTGGATATTCTCACGCTGTCACTGCACAGCTATGTACCACATACAGAAATTAATATAAATGATTTTATTGCATTTTATAAGTAATTTTTTTTAATAACGCTGTTTCGAGAACTTTTTAGTGCAAAATGTATTTAACATCTCAATGACATAGTTACATTACATGGCTATCTTCAACATTCGTTCCATCTATTCAAAAGGAACTTAAAGTATTTTGAAAAATTGTTGTAGTATGTTTTGGTTTGTATTTAACAAAGAATCTCAAACAGAAAGTAGCAGCACCCAGCCATCTTCTCTCCTAAGATGTTTTTTGATAACAATAGCTTCGTGAACCGTCCTTGGTAGGAATAGGTGTTCTTTTGTATTTGTTGCTAATAAAATTTGATGTAATGGCGTGGGTGAACCTGAATATGTTCACAGACTACCCAGAGCGTCGATTCTTCATGTCAGCTGTATGTTAGACCAATAAAATCCCGTATATAAAAATCCTTCGCCTGAGATGTTTACAATGAATTCAATGCTGGTCTTCGTATGGTAAGTGTAGAAAACCAGAGACCCTTTTTACTGGTTAAGAGGGATTCTACCTTATTCATCAGTGGTATTAACACACCTGTATTATAATTTATAATTGAGGATGGATGTAGATGTCTAGGGGCCACAGCATTCACTCACCATAAAGTGGACTGTATGCTCGCTTGTCACCCTTATTATATAAAAAAGTAAACTATCTGAGTTGAAGACAGAGTGTTGAAGACAGAGTGTTGCAACACCTTTACCAACCTGAAACTTTGTGTGAGATTGAGTGGTTAACTATAGGAGGAACACTACTTGTTAGGTATATTCCTGACTTTTATCTATCCCCTGAAACTTAGTTTAAGATTTATCAAATCTTTTTTTGAATTTCATATTAGATTGCTTATTTTACGTGATCACATATGTTTTCCGATAGAAGAGCAAAGCTCAAATACCATTGAATCTAATAAATTAATAAAATTATTATATTTCATTAGGTTATCTATATTTGTTTAACAATTTGTGATATTTGTAGTGTTAGAGTTTATAAATAGGAAGGCTTACTGATTCGAATAAACTTAAACGATCCTCAGGCATTTTAAGTACACGACAACATACATACCTCCATACTCTGGAACTGAGCTGCAAGTTTGGAGCAAGAGAGCTTGAACTGTTTCACAATGTTAGAGACTTTCTCGAAGCGATGAGCGTCACGATGCTGCCGTCGCTGACAATGCGATACAACTAGGAATGTAGCTCGTTCAAACAACAGCACCTGCCAAAAATAAGATACGATAATACAGACATAACATAAACACTCACGCCTGTCACCCAGAGGGGTAGGCAGACTTCAGACTTCCGTTTGGCACGATCCTGACACACCTCTCGCCTCCTCCACATTCATATACATACGCATATATGCTTGTCGGTTAAGCGTACTCCCTAATTTGTCCCATTTTCGATATATCGCCAGATACGATAATACTATTTTAATTAAATTTCATTAATAGGAGAGCCGTGGTAGCTCAGATGGTTAACGCTCGCTGTAAATATAACAGAACGCGAGTAACCCGGATTCGATCCCCGCCGGCACCAATGAAATTGTTAATTGCAATTTTAAGTGCTGATTTATCACGTGTTCGGCGGTGAAGGAAAACATTGTGAGGAAACCTGCATATCTGAGGAATAAGAAAAAAAATATTTCGAAGACATGTGAAGTTCGCCAACACTCATTGGGGCAGCGCGGCGGACACTTCCTTGCCCTAAAACCCTCTCAGAAATGAGGGGAGGCCTGTGCCCAGCAGTGGGACGTATATAGGCTGTAACTTACTTCACTTACTTTCATTAATAGACGTGTTTTAACTACCAATAAAACGCATATTAACTTACTTACTTATTCGAAGCTTATTATATGAGATAGCAGTCACTTTTTTGCCTTGTTTATAGTTCCGTTATCTTTCTTCCGTATATATCTCTCTGTCTTTTCATACCACCACCATACGTGCGGCGAGTCAACAAGCGGAGCGCAAAAGTTTTTAACCTTCATTGCGTCGAATTAAACCAGGCAGAGATTATCTATAAGCTTCGAATGAGGTAAGTAAATTAATATGCGTTTTATTGGTAGGTATAACGCTTCTGTAAATTTGATTTGACCGTTATTCGAAGCTTATAGCTATATAAGACGTTTGTTATCAGATAGGAAAAATAAATCGGGACGCCACTGTGAAATGGTAGTCGAGTACGGTGTTGTAGTAAAATAAAACTAAAACGTTTATATCGTAAAGTATAATTAACAACAAAAATAATCATCTGAATCAATCAGTATTAATATAGACTTTAATCAAATTAAAGGAGTGAAGGGCCCCATTAGAAAAATTAGCAACCACTTTGCGCCTGTAAAATTTTGTAAAAGTGTTTCCCGCTAATTACCTTTCGCTAAAATATCTTCTATAGGACGATTATTTAACCAATCCCTCGAAACTACAGCTGAGCTAATGCTATCAGATGCCGTTATGATGTTTGCATCCACTAGAAGTGTTATCCAACCCGCGACCAAAGTTCTCGATGCGGGTTTTGGATCTCCTCTAAGTGTAACGAACAAGTTATTGTAAGCAACTAATTCTTGTCTAGCATGCATAGAGTTAATTAATAGATTAATCCAAACAACGGGATTTAAACTATGCGATTAATGATTTACAAATAATTTTCATCCCGACTGACTGTAGTTACGTCGTTCTTTGACCCAAATTTTGGCCAAAACACGATGGTCTCATTACCTTAAACACAGTTATTTGGTCCAATACATAAGAGAGTCAGATCATGGATTCTTCGACCAGAGGCTAAAACTAAAAGCATTGCAGTGTCTCGAAACTTGAAATGTTTTATTGTGATCTACATACTGGCGTATATACGAAGCCAGTTCTTCAATATCCCAGATGGGCGGCTTACGTTGAAAAGGATTTCTTAGAGCTATTAATTTCAACACATGTTTTACATTTGAGCTTAGGGTGTTAGATATGCTTGCATTACAAATAGTGGAAATTGCCGATTTGTATAGCAGAATCGTGTTATATGAAATACCATGAATTAAGTATATATAGAGGAACTGTGCTAGCTGTGTCTTTGTACGATCCTTCGCGAAAACTTTATGTTCATTGCTCTAGTGAAGTTACCTTTTCCAAGGTACGTTACGTCTTGGGCGAGTTTTTATTCACAAAATCATCAATTATATCGTCGTATGAAATATTGTTTTTTTCTTTTTCAGTTGTCTCTTTCCCATGTCTTTTGTATACTGCCTCGACGCGCTTAATTCCATAGCCTTTTCTTCGAAATACTGAAAAATTTCTCGTTCAGCTAAGTACTAAAAACCAGGGGTCGCAATACCGGACCTCTTTTCAAAAACCGGTGTTTTCGGTATTAGTTTTATTAATACCGAGATTTCGGTAGTTTCGGTATTTTCGTTTTCTTAACATAGTTAGAAAAATATTAAAAATATGTAATGTGACCGTAATTTTCATAAGAGAATTGTCACCAGCCAATCAATAAAAGAGTGTTAAGATAAGAAAATCACATTTATTTAAAAAAACACAATCATTTATTGAAAGTTTAATAAATAATTCACTGCTGCCTTAACAATAACATAAAATAGGTACTCCTGCTAAGTAACTTCTTAATACTTCTTCATGTTCTATAAACTTCTTCATTATCCTCAGCTTTAATAACACATAAAATGCTCTTGGACGACTTATCTTTTTTTCTTCACTTTTTTTCAAGGAAATCGCGTAAGAGCTTTCTTTGCTCCATGGTGTAGTTAGAAAAAGTCGTATATATTCTTCAGTTTACATCTAAAACTTCTATGAACGTTAAATTCCCACCTACAAAAGCGATATCTCTTGAGAAGGAGAAAATCTGGTTCATAGGTTAAATTCGGTAGCAAAGAATGTTATAAATTTACTTTTAAATGAATTGAAGAAGTTTAAATGAAACTAAATTTTACGAATTTTATTGCGTATTTTATTATATATTCGCGTCCCAGTGTCATAGTAAAATACGGCTACCTTCAATTAACAATTATTAGTTTTTGGTCCAATGTATGCAGAATGGGCGTATCTTGAAGTCTTGCAATTGTATGCTTGTTTTGGGATTTAATTTTATTACAGATGGTAACACCGAGCCATTCCCTCGTTATAGTAATCTTCTACATAACATTCCAAAGCAGAGTCATAAGAATCATCATCTTCCAGTTCTCTTAGTTGAGTTTGGAAACTGTTTTCTTTTTTATAGACACGTCTAATATCGCTAACTGTATACCATGAGCAAGGTATCGCTGGTGGAAAAGTGCTGCTTCTCTTCGAAATGCGATCATTACACTGGCACAGTCATTGGTTGTATAGGCGAGCGGGCGGATTCGTCGTTGGCTCAGGACTCGGGAGTAGGTACTCTCTCTCACTCAATCCAGAGTGTAGTCGCGCGACTTGCATTGCATAGTAGAGCCGCTTTGCCATAGCAGCCACCACGCGAAAAGCGTGAGCTATTTAATTTTTTTTGACATAATATTATTTAATATAGATTTATAATTAAATACCGAAAAAGTCGTAAATACCGGTTTCCGTTCACTCAATCCCGGTATTTTAAAGCTTTCGTTTCAGTCCGGTATCCCGGTATTCTCGAGATTCGGGTTTGCGACCCCTACTAAAAACTTGTAAAAAGATTAATAATATAATAATAATAATAAAACATTTATGAATAGGCTCTAGCTCAGCATAAAAGTTGCAGTTGCCCACAACGCTGTTATTCTGCCAGCGCCCTACAAATGAAAAGTACAGTACGCGCGCATCCCTGCTTTATTACATTTAATCACAACTGTTCATTTTAGAGTACATCTCGAGATTCGTAAAAATCGCCAATTTTGTTCAAATTTACGGTAGAAACCTAAATTTAAGCATTAACTTTGTTTATACTTTGCAAAAAACTTTCTACATTTTCAGTTTTTATATATTTAAAAGTATTCCCGTCGCTGTCGCATCGCGTTACAGGCTTTTCGGTACAATCATCTCAATCCCAAAGTGTTAAGGACTTCGTTCCAAGAATGTCTAAACTTCCACATGCGTCCTCTCTAGCTGACCAAGGTGTCAGATTTACTCTCTTTAGCGTTTTCCCTTTCTTTATTTCAGTCATTATTTTTGCCAGCATTGTGTCGAACTTATATAATAATTTCATGAAGCAACATGAAGAAACGACACGCTTTTGTGCAACATTTAGCAGCCACAGTTGCTACTGAATTTAAAGAGTGGGCGGAGCAAGGAACGAAAAAATGTTTCACTTCCGAGATAATGGCAGAAAATATTTCTTGATCTATCGTTTTAAAATTAAATTCACCTTAATTTCTGTGAGACAAAAAAATTTTGCTTCAAACTTGCCGCTCCAAAAATCTGCCGCCCTAGGCTCCAGCCTACTCAGCCTGGTGAAAAATCCGCCACTGCGCATCAGACCTTACTAGCGCGTTTAGAAGAGAAAGTAAATCTCGATAATTTAAGCGACTATTTGGTACCACAAAACTAGCTAAGTTTAACATTCCCATCATACTCTACAAGTCTTTCAAGATAGTTGTACGATCCCGTAACATTCTTATAGTTTGTCCCTCAGTCCCTGTGTCATTTCCCCTAGAAGCTTCTTTTCGTTTAGCCAAGGGTTCCACTCTATCCCCAGATACACAAGACTTCTCAGTGTCATTCTCTAGTGTCAGTTTCACATGCTACTTCAAGACCTGTTGATTCTGATGTACTGGTAAAAAGATGTCGAGATAAACTACTATCCTGACACCCTTTTTCCTTAAATTCTCCGCGATCCAATTTGTTAGAGCAGCGAAAGTCCTGGAAGCCGAACTTATGTCGAAGGAGAGACATGTCATTTCCAAAAGATCGCTTTGGCAAATCAGCTTTAAAAAAACTCCTGAGGTTGCATCCTACTCTTAAATGGGAGTAAGCTTGCTACAGGTCTACTTTCGATAATCCATCTTGGTTCTGAAGGAAACCTGGGATCCGCAGGGCGTTTATAAACCTGAGTTTCTTTGCTACGACGAACTTGTTTAACGCCTTTAGATTGAATATGGGTCATGCTAGTCCATTGCTTTTGGGGACCAGGAACATAGTGGATATAAAGCTTGGGAACGTTTGAACCACCTGTAGAGCACCCTGGTCTTTTAAATGTTTTATAATTGATGTCATTTCCGGCGATTTCTATGTCTGGTCAATGGTATGCCTTAGTTTGGGATAA